ACCATCTATGGCGATCTGATCAATTGTGATCCCGTAGCGGCGGTATAGTGGTGTCCTAATCTAATAAGAAAGCCACGTTTTAACCGTAGTTTCCTAGAACAACATTCGAGCAAAAAGAAAATTATCAAATACCTTTCATATGACACATGTGATTTCGTTCTAATTCCTCAATTTGGTGTCAATTAAACCATTTCTGATCAGAAATGTTATAACTAGGACATCGTTGCTTGCTATTTTCAGAATTCACACAAGCACACATCAGCAGCTCTTATTATGAGAAAAACACAAATACATACATTCGTTACGGCCTTCGGTGACAGTGTCGTATGAGAGGGCCTGTCGTATAACATTGGTGCGATGTGCGGTAAAAGAGGTGAGCACGGCATACATAACAAGGCAGGCTACTACCGACAGTAAACATCTGGTTCGGATGTAAACAAATGACGTCATTGCTATCTTTCAACAGCGCGAACCGTAGCAACGCGAATTGTGTAGTGCGACACGGTGTACACTATAGATTTTATGCCGTGCAGTGCGAGTTTAATTTGTTGAAAATGGTGAAGTGTGCTGTAATTAACTGCAGTAATTACGAAGGGAATAAACTGTGTTCGATACAATTAAAGTATTTTTGGTTTCCGCGTGAGGAAAGTTTGAAAGTTTTGTGGTTGGAAGCCTGCGGTAGAAATTTAAATACGCAACAACATTTGAAAATCTGCTCGGAACATTTCTCCGAGCAAGATTAAAGGCTGAAAGATATTTTGTTGAATACGGAGTGGTCGAAACGAAGGCTGAAACCAGGAGCGGTTCCTGGGTTTGGCCAATGAATTTGAATGACTTTCATCAGATCAAATCAAATATTAAAGCCAGAGAAGGCATCCTCGTGTTGCTCTCTAGAAAGAAAATCGTTAGCTCAGAATGCTTCTCGTTTTAATTTCTAACATCACGCATCATAAACACCAGCCGTACAGTATTTTAACTAAATGAAGAAAACACAAGCCACTATATTATCCACAATAAAAGCAATAAAATAAAGCAAATTGCATTGAAAACACTAACTTCGCTCATAGACTGCTTTCTCTCGCGCTTGTTTACGAGATGGATAGCAATGACGTCATCGCGCAAATGTCATTTTCCGGAATATCTCACCTCCTATAGTGTACACCGTGGAGGTGAGGAGAAAGGAAACTAGTGGACTCTTTCGTTCTCGCGTCTTCTTATGCAGCAACAGACGTGACGTCACGTCTGCTGTTGCATAAGAACACCGTCAGAATGAAAGAGTCCACTAGTTTCCTTTCTTCTCACCTCTTATACCGCACATCGACATTGGTACTGTTACTTGAAAGCTTGTTTTGCAAGTGTCGGAAGCAAAAGCAGTCGATTATCACAGAAAATGTGTCGACTACGGTCGACCGACACGACTTTGATTCGCCTTCACACGGCACCGTCGAAAATTTTTCTCTTCCAGCAAAGATTTACAGTATATTATGGGAACTTTCTCCGGAGTGAAGAGTTTCACGCACAGTCTGACGTTTGCTTACCGGATATTTCATAGGAGATAAAAGCTACAGAGTCGCCGTCAACGCCAATTCTATCAAAAAGCGGATAAGTGAGCAAGAAAACGGTGGTATATTACTTTATGCTTCTTTCCCTTCAGAATCAGATTATACTCTAGATTGTAAAATTCGATTCTGAAGGAAGACGGATACTGAATAAAAAATCCGTAGAAACTGTACCGAATTCCGTAGATTTTGCCTACGGATCCGTATTTCCGTAAAAAATTGTAAAATCCGTAGATCTACGGAGATTTCCGTAGATCTGGCATCTCTGGCTAAGTGCTTCGTTTCACCAGTAAGCTGGACGGCGTCTATTATTTGGCTCCAGTTTTCTCGGCATGGTTGTGTCACATGCTCTTACTAACGTTTCTGTCAGCCCGTTTACGTTTAGATTCGTGGGGTCCCTGTCCATACGGAGTGCCTCAACGAAAAGATCCTTGTCGAAAGTTGATGGTCGATATGGGTATATCCTTCGCACACTCTCCAATTCATGTTTGCCACCAGCGACGGAGTGCAGAAAGTGACGTCGATAATGGATTCCCAGCCATCCCTGCGAAAAGTGCTACTAGTGCCTAACAGCCTAACTTCCAGCTTTGCCAGAGCTTCCAGCAGACTGTGCCCTCTTGCATTGAAACATCTGCTTCCCCACTCCACTGTCCAAGCATTGAAGTCTCCTCTGATGACTACCGGTTTTCGTCCGATCAGCTCTTCGATAAGTCTATCCAGCATCTCGTGTAACTGCTCCATTGTTCATCTAGGGGGTACGTAGCAACTGCATATGAAGATTCCGTTAATTTTGGTAATTTTGCATACTGCCATACGCCTTCCTCATGCGGATTGACATCGGGACTTCTCCCAGATCACAGTGCACTTTCAATGCACTTCTCAGCTTCTCTTCTGTAGAGATTTCGTTTAGACCCCTGCACTCGACCACTGTCTCCTGGGATAGAGCTCTTACGCTCGCCCCATTCGCCAAGAGACTTTTCGACGAGCTCCTTGACGACTGAGATTATGTGTTCCTCAGCTGACCCTCCGCTTCCTATTTTCGATATCTAGACTGGTAAACCTTTGTATCATAAAATTGAGGATGAATGCTTAAAAGCATTTTAATAAACCGGAGCGGTTCATTACTACGGAGTGGCATTACTACGCAAAAATAAGTTAAAAAAAAATAGTTTGGTCTTACCCGATATTCTTGAAATAATTTTGAATAAAACATTGACATTTACAGACTTCATGTTTTTAGTTCGGTTGATTAATCTGTTGATATGCTTTTACAAGCGGGTTCAAATTCACGTTTGGTCCACATCAACACTGATCTAGCAACATTAGTGTGCATCTTTCCAATGTGGTAAAGATCAAGCTCAGTCATGAGACCTGGTAGCCTGATTAAGCTACCACAAGGAGTTGGTTGGAAATGCTATCCAACATGCAGCTTTAGTGTGATAATTTATTAGCTAGAGGCCATTAATGCGACAGTACGAGTCTAACGCACACTTCTTTGCCTAACTCGTACGATGTACGAGAAGATTTGAAGTAGGAAAAATGGATGTAATGTCGGCCTAAATGCCCCTAATTTGGGCCCATACATAAATTCAGCAATCGACTAAATTTTCAATAGCGATCAAAAATATCCATTAGTTTCATCCCAATGACGCGTTCATCTAGAAAAAATTGATAAATAGCAGATTTTTAGCGATGGGCCCAATCTTAAATCCATATGCCAACATTAGAGCCATTTCCCAAATGTCTTCAAATCTACAGGCAAAAAAGTGCGCGTTTGACTTGCTCATATACTGTCTGCAGCTGTGAAATAGTTCTTGCGACGTTTCATCACTACTTAAAGCCCCTCATTGCATTAATGGCCCTTCGCTAATTTTCAGCTTCTATTCAATTTTTATACTGCCGTACTCTAACGAAGCTATCTACCTACCCTCTTCTAAGACCATTCTCTAGCTAATAAATTACCACACTAAAGCTTCATGTTAGATCGCATTTCTAACCAACTCTGAACATCGCAAACTTTGCGTAACGTAAGTAACATAAAAACACTTTGAATGCTACTACAAGGTTTTGCCAAAGCCCAGGGATAAGATCCTATAGAACCAGTTCAATGGTAGTCATTTGAAGTACACAGGAGCACACCTGCCATGTTTAAGGGAAATCCCGGAAAGTGGCCAGTCTCTGACTTGGATCAGAATCCAACATGCGATACCTTAAACCACATAATCTATTAAATAATATCATATCAGGAGGATTCATATGACCACTTTTGATGGAATTGTTATTATTAAATTTCACCATAGGTGGGTTAATTCAGGTATTTTATGATTGAAATTTAATATTGATAAACAAAATTGGCGAAGATCCATTTGCGAACACACTACTATAGCAACGTGTCTCTGGGTAAGGCATCATAGTGGCACAACGTACCACTTTCACACGAGCGGATAAATATATCATTTGCAACAAAATTCTTAAATTGTCATGCTCCAACCAAAGCATGAAGCAGCGCAACATAGTTTCAGTTTTATTGCCATCGATTTCAATCATACTTTGCTGCAGCATCATGATGCCCCGGTTTTATGTATGTATAGCTCTCACGGTTCCCACGTACCTCTATCTCGCAAACATAAAATTGGCTATACATTTCGATTATCGATTGGTTATCTAAAGTTTCCAGTACACCGTAGAAATAGAAAAAAAAAAAAAAAAACAGTTCAGTTAAAGTCATTAAAGTTATTACACAAAGTTTTCGAACAGAACCGATCCTGATCGAAATGGCCGAGTTTTCGCTTATTGTGCAAATTTAAATAGGTAATGAAACCTAATTGATAATTTGCTTTCTTTTGTGTGAACACACTGTAAACGAAACTTTAAACTTTTACTCAGTTGTGAGTCCCTTTTACTCCTTCGATTCGAGAAATGTCTCCATACGAAAGAGTAAACGTGACTCACTCGATGAGTAAGATTCGTTTTCAGTGTAACTGGAGACACGGTTTAGATACACCGCTTTCCTCCACGGCCCTTGAGAGTAGCTCAATATTGAGTCGAAAACGACTCAGAATTGCAAAATGTGGTGTTACTCAGTGAGTGAGCAAAACTTGTTTCGATTTTTCTCGATAATCAGCTCGAATATGAGGAACATCGATATAAATTTACTCAGTCTATGAGTGTACTCGTAAGCTTAGTAAATATCCCATCGTATTCGACTCAATTTGAAGTTATTCTCATCGGCCGTGTAACGCCGCTCTCCGGCTCCGCTTTTCGAGTGCACTGGTGACCCCATTGTGCTGCCTTGATTTGTTCCATTGAGCTTGTGGGATTTTGCCCAGCTTTAGTCAACAGCTTCGGTACTCATACACCCCCATCATCATCGATGCACCGGATGCTCGGGAAAAATGGAAAAAGCACGATGCAACTCTCCATTTATGAGCACCCCCTTACCTGGATTCAGCGTTTTCTTGTGTATCCTAGTTTGCCACATGTTATTGCGATCTGGGAGCAGTCTTATCTTTGCATATGGATCCGCGGTGCCACTGAAGTCACGCGGTTGCAGGTCCTGCGCCTGAATGATTATTTTGATAATTAGTTCATCAAGTAAAACCTAAACAAGGGTTTCATTCTTACCTCAACGAGCTTGACATTCAAAATTCCCGAACTGGGGTCGTAGTTGAGCATTAGGTGAATTTCTCCCCGAGAGTCCTCACCGGGTTCAAGTTTCACGGGAGAGCTGCTGCCGGCGATGCCGGAGGCTGCTGCATCAAGCGTATCCTCGGCAGCGGAAGCATTTGCAGATCCTTGCTGATTGTTTTTCGCCTTCACCGTCGATGTGGTGGGTTTTGCTGGGCTCGTTGTGCTCAGGACAACGTGCTTGTCGGTGCGAGCGATGGGCACCGAACCGACCGCTATAACTGATTTACAGCTGCTCGATGAGTCCGCACTATCGTCCGGGGGTTCCTCTGGCGAAAAAGAAAAGAAAAACAATAGAATGACATGATGGTGTGCTGGTGATAAACGGTGGAAAGCTAATAAAACATCCGTGTAAGTTGTTACCATCTGACGAGTCAATAAGCTGGTCGCACGAGTGGGCGTTTTTGTAAATCCCTTGGGATGCCCAAAAGGGTGGGTCGTCGGTTTTTGCTAGCGGGCTTCCGGTGTTCCGGTTCAGGTATCGTGACGTGCCTGCCACGGCATCAACATTGTATGGAATCGGACAGCTTACCTGCCCTTGATTTCTGAGGGGAAATAAAAAAAAGGAAGTTTGTTGAGAATTAATCATTTTGTTCGAATATTTTCCACAGAGATGGCGCTGTTCCGCTGGTAGGAAGTGATAAAAATCCCCATATAGAAATTGAGAGAAGTGGGAATAATTTGCTTTCGGTGCATATTCAGGTCAAAAAAAGTGAACGACAACATAAAGAAATTAGTCAGGGGCTTTGTCGTTCAGTTTTTTCCCGGAAATTAATGCTAAACAAGCGACAATTAAATAAAAATAATTTTTCCCCATACAATTTTACCTGCTTTACTACCAGTCCCCAGAGAGCTAAAAAAAATTCAAATTTGAGAGAGAAATTCTCTCTCACGAGCTCAATCTCTCAACATGCCATGTATTTTGTTGACACTCGATTTGTGATTTCCCTTTCACAGATTACAAAATAGAGTACCTGACACTACAAAAAATGTCTGGTATCTCTATGTATGCATTTGCTTTATCATTTGAAGTCCCTCCTTTTTTACATATTCTGCGCAAAAGATACTTTATGCCCCGCCCCATACATAAAATTCGGCGGGAAATTCTGTGAGGGGTGAGCTATTTTGTGTGCAGAATGTGTAAAAAAGGAGGGACTTCGAATAATAATCTAAATGCATGTATAGAGGTCCAGACATGTTTTGCACTGCAGTGTCCTCTGTGAACAATTATAAGAAAACAGATTTTGTCTAGTTTCCGATAGATATCACCGCAAACAAGAGCTGTGACATCTGATGGAACATGTATGCAGAAGCTTGACAAAATGATCAATTATCTTAATGTGCGTTATAATGTGTTAGAATTTATTAATTAATCACTCAGGATGGTAAATTTTCGGTGGGCTTATGAACAGAATGGTAGGATGAAGGGGACAATGGTACAAACACACCGGAGTAGAACGTACTTTTTCATGGCATTTTATGTTTTTCTTGGCATTTTTAATCCAATTAATAATTTTGTCAAGCTTCTGCATTCATGTTCCATCAGATGTCACTGCTGTTGTTTGCGGTGACATCTATCGGAAACTACACACAATCTGTTTTCCTATAATTGTTCACAGAGGACACTGCAGTGCAAAACATGTCTGGTACCTCTATATATGCATTTAGATTATTATTCGAAGTCCCTCCTTTTTTACACATTCTGCACTCAAAATAGCTTACCCCTCACAGAATTTCCCGCCGAATTTTATGTATGGGGCGGGGCATAAAGTATCTTTTGCGCAGAATATGTAAAAAAGGAGGGGCTTCAAATGTTAAAGCAAATGCATATATAGAGGTACCAGACATGTTTTGTAGTGTCAGGTACTCTATTTTGTAATCTGTGAAAGGGAAATCACAAATCGAGTGTCAACAAAATACATGGCATGTTGAGAGATTGAGGTCGTGAGAGCAGATTTTCTCTCTCAAATTTGAATTTTTAGGCTCTCTGGGAGCTGGTAGTAAATCAGGTAAAACTGTATGGGGAAAAAACATTTTTATTTAATTGTAGCTTGTTTAAAAATAATTTCCGGGAAAAAACTGAACGACAAAGTCCTTGATTCATTTCTTTAGGTTGTCGTTCACTTTGTTTGACCTGAATATGCACCGAAAGCGAATTATTCCCACTTCTCTGAATTTTTATATGGGGATTTTTATCACTTCCTACCAGCGGAACAGGGCCATCTCTGTGGAAAATTGTCGAACAAAATGATTAATTCTAGAATGTAAATATCATGCAGCATTTTGAGTTCAGATTCTATGCTACACACTTAGAAAAATTAATGTAAATTTATGTGCTCAGAGAGTGACAAATACGAGCGTCAATTTTAAATTAAACGTAATTTTCGTCGAGCAACGAATTTTTCAGTCTCGTAGCACTTAATATTACATGACATGTCTCATCTTTTATGTCAAAGACGGATTCCGTCACGTGTAAAATTAGTAATTTCCAAGTGTGTGTGAATGATAATTTTGTTAACTAATTTAGTTCATTGTACTTCAAGAAGTAATAGATTGTAAAAAGGTAGTCTAATAAGCAACAGTTTACTAAAATAATTCGAACTTCAAGCTGAAAAAGCCAATCAAGTCACAAATTATGTCTTCACGGCGAATGAGAACGACCCGAATTTGAGTTTAGTTCACTCATAATCGCCAAAAGTGCAGAAACTCAGCGATGAGTAAATTTGCTTCATGTTTTCCCTGGTTTTTCCAGGATTTTCCAGGGATCCGGGGACCAACGGCTTTACTTCCCTTCCAAAGGAAGGCGTGATCAGAGATGTTATGCCCGTCCTGTGTTATGAACATCCCGGCAGCGCCGAATGGGATTGAACCCAGGCCTGCTGGGGTGACAAATTATGCTTGAACACTTTATCGTGCAGCAGCAAGAAATTTGGAAAATTTTGATGCAAAAATTGAACAGTAACAGATTATCTTCCACAGAGAAGCAAAAAAAAATCACGATGCGTTATTTTTGAATGTTCAGTATTTCAATAATAATTTAGTGAATGAATATCCATTATAGTTCTGGAGGATTACAAAAGGGATATCCGAATATCCACAACGAACTAATCAATCCATCAGAAGACGTTCGGTGAATCACCAGAATAAGTCTGGAGAACCAAAGAGGAATTCTAGAGAATTCCAAGAGGGATAACCAAGAACCTCAAGTGCGATTCTGTAATAAATCAAATGGAATTATAGAGTGTCATTCCCAAGTGTCATTCTCAAAAAGAAGATTATAAAGAATTCCAATAGAAATTCCATCGAATGCTAACAGGAGATGAAGAACATAACAATAAATTCCGATGATGAGATAACTCTTAATTGAGATTTTGGAGGATCCATAATTTTTTTTTAGAATAGCAATTGAATTTTCGAAATGCTCTAAGGAGGATACTAGCGAATTCCCAAAGTATTTCTGGAGAATTAAAGAGCAAGTTTAGAAAATTATAGAACATTGGAGAAGCTCACTAAGACATGGATTATAAATAATCTCAAGAATGATTCCTCATAATCCTATCATAAATTTAAGATAATCCAATAGAACGTAAACGGGAACGTCGTTATAAGATGATCTCATTGTATGGTTTGGTTATATTAATAAATGATTTTACTTAGCTTGCTCCGTAAGAAAAGCAGGGGAAAGTAGAGTAAACTTGTTTTATTCATTGACAGAAGAATTGTCAGAGATGGACCAGCACGCGACTGAAAGTCTCTTAAATAAAGAAAACAAAATTGAAGAATTGATAATCTTGCTTAGCAAGAAGGAATTATATATTGAAATAACTTTTCCTATTGGGCAGCATGATTTCAGTAATGTACACCCAACAAATTAAGAAAAATATGTATGATGTAGCTGCACTAGTTTTTCATGATTTATGATATAACCGATAATGCCAATATCATTAAAGTGAAAAAACAAATAAATTAATACGCTTGAATGATTGACAATTGAGCCTTAAAACACTACTAAAAATTGACTAAAATGGCAAAATTTGTCCAACGGTCTGAATTTTTTTTTAAAAACTAAAACTAAACTTCAAAAATATTTTTGAATACTACGGCATAACTATCAAAATGTAAAAACACTAAAAATGGCCTCAAAACCTCTAAACTAGCCTATAATTACCGAAATGGCTTTAAAACACTAAAATGGTCAAGACATGGTTTAAAAACGCTGAACTTCACATCACGCAGTATGACGAATCTTACAAAAATCTTAAAAACTACAACTCTCATAATAATGCGTGATAATGTTTGTACCATCGTACAAATAAGGTTCCCGTTTCACCTGTGAATACAATGACTTGGTTTTCTTTGCATGCATGTAACCTATAGCTCATACCGTAGTAGGCTGTGTATAAAAGACAATGATTTACTTAGTTTGACAGTTGCACCATGACGAAGTGGCAGCGTATTCGTGAATTGTCCCACGCGCAAATGTCGCAAAAAGACATTTCAATCGCCGTGGGAGTGTCCCGGTGGACCGTCAAAAGGGTTTTAGACCGAGAAAAGAAAGGACAACTATCCGCGAACGAGGCCACAGGTCGTCCGAGGTCGTCCGGGTTCCGAGGGTTATCGCTGCTATCAAAAGGAAGATTCGGGCGAATCCAGTGCGTTCAATAAGGACAATGGCAAAGGAACACGGGAGATCGTAAAGGAAGATTGTGGAGCGAAGTCGAGGGCTAAGAAAAAAAACTCACATGATTACCAACCGCATCCGGGAGCTACGAGTCGAACGATGCAAGAAAATCTTGAACTTCCTTAAGCGAAAAAATCCGGTATTCCTGTTCACCGAAGAGAGTATGTTTACCGTCGATCCCGTATCAAATTCCAGAACCGGCCGGTATATAAGTTCTCTTTCGGTAAAAGACGTTGCCGACGAGCACAAGAACGTGTATCTGACCAAGCATCCTGCTAGCGTTATGGTGTTTAGATTGGTGGCTTCCGATGGCAACAAAATGGACCCGGTGTTCATTCCAGAAGGCGACAAGGCTAACTACATCGGGATTTTAAGTAAGTATGTTCTTCCGTGGATCAAAGAACAGTACGGTCCGAAGCCAAATGTTGTATTTCAACAAGATGGGGCTCCGTGCCTCACCTCGAACCGCAACCAGAAGTGGTTGCAGGAACATCTTCCGTTCTGGGCGAAGGATATGTGGTCGCCATCCAGCCCCGATCTTTATGCGCTGGATTACTCAATATGGTGCGTCATGAAGGTCAAGGCCTGTTCTTAACGCCACCCGAGTACAGCAAGCCTAAGACAAACATTGACCCGTACCTCTAGAGAAATTGATCCAGACTACATTATTAGAACCTGCCGTGCATTCCGGAAGCGTGTGGAGGCCGTTATTGCAGCAAATGGAAACTCGACAAGCACATCCCCCTTTGAATAAATAAAAAAAACAACTCGAAAAAGAAATTTTTGATTTTTTTTTAATTTTGACATTGCTCAATGGTGCAAACATTATCACGCATACGGTACTGAAAATACATTCCAAAATAG